GGCCAAGATGACCGTGCCGGTGAGTGCTGACCGCCGGGGACCCCGCGCCCCCCGCTGCAGGCCCGGGCCACCGGGGGTCGCCGGAGGGTCTTCTCGGGTTGTGTGTGGCGGGGGGAACAGGATGGGGGCGCCGCCCCCTCGCCGGCTTCTCCGACCCTGCTCTTCCAGCCTCCTCCAGGATAGCCGAGGGGAACCCGGGCCCGTGCTGGCCCCACCGGGAGCTCCCCGGGACGGCTGGGTTGGGGAGAGGGTGTGTGTGGGCCTCTTCAGGGCCCCTGGGGCTGGCGGAGCCGGCGGGGGTCCGCGCTCTTCCCCGACCTCTTACCAGAGTGGCCAGGTCGACCGAGGAGAGGGCTCTGTCACTCCCTGGAAGCCCGTGTCCAGGTCAGCCGGGCCGGCCGAGGGGTCGGAAGGTCTGTGCTGTTCCCTAGCAAACTCCCTGGGAGAGCTGCCCTATTGTGCTCCCGGATTCCCCACCCGGATGGCCAGGCGTGGGGCGGGGTCTGTGCTGTCCCCGAGGCACCCTCACTCCGGAATGGTTGGCTTGGCTGGTTAATAGAAAGACCATCCCTCCCCCTGCCTCTGCTTTATGCACTCACTTGGTGGGAAGTTTTGTTGAACAGTTGATTGAGCCCCAGGGCCTTTCGACCAGCGCCTCCTTTCTGTAGGGGCTTCCCCTTGCTTTGATATCCCCTCTTCCTAACCCATCAGACAGACTTGAGCAGCCCTTAGTCCAGGGCTTAACAATTGGGCCACGGGTCTCTCCTCCCGAGGCAGCCAGTGATGATGGCTACCTGGGTGACGGACTGACTCAGGTACAGGCTCCACTTTACAGACCGACAGAGGTGTGAGGCCACACCTTCATCCTGTCCGCACTGTAGTAATGGCCCGCAGCCATGGTTTCTCTGCTGAGTCAGGGGTTTTTCCCAGTGACAGGAAGGGGCAATGGGCCAGAGCCTTGTCCAGCCTGGCCTTATTCTGGGACTGCTCTTCGTCTACGTGGGGACCGGGTTCTCTCTGTGATGCACATCAGTCGAGGCTTCCTGGCAGCGCAAGTGGCCTCTTAATTAACCACCATAGGGTATGGAGATTCCTGGAGAAAAGAGGCTTGTGTAAGTGCAAAGCATTGTTATTACAGAATTAAAGATCCCGGCTCCTGCCCGCCCCCAGAAGTGGTAATGCTGAGTTACAGATGAAAAAATTAGGGCTTCCAGGCTGTGCTGATGGGAGCCCCCACCCCCATCTCTTCTGGTTCAAAGCGTAATTGCCTCATCTCTAGGAAGAGACAGAGAAAGCCTGCCAAGCCCCTCGCCTGTTCTGTTCCACTGTTCTGCAAAGCTCAGGATTTTCTCTGGCTTGGGGCATAGGGCACCAGCCAGCTCCACCCCTGTGGACACTGGTCAGAGAAACAAGGCAGATGGCCGAGCATGCTGGAGGGCCAGGGTCTCCAGGGCAGTAGTGAATAGTGAGTGGCCCTCTGGACAGGCCTATGGTTGGGAGGTCCGGGATTGGTTTGGCCGTCTAGAGTCAGTACAGAGCTCTGGACATAGAGTCTTACATGGCATGCACACCCTCACCTCACAAGATTCCAGGTAGTCGTCCTCGGCTCTGTGCCTCGGTGGCACCATCTGTAGCTGGAAAGGGCAAGGGGCCTGGTAGGACTTATCTAGATAAGAATCACTATGAAGAGCTAAAGTCAAGGCCTGTCCCCACCACACTCCCCTCTAAAAGTCACTTCTCACCCTCTCACTTGTAGCCACAGCCCTCAGTAAATGTGCATGGCATATAGCTAGGCTGTCAGACCACTGTCCTCTCTTCTGGGACCATGGTACCCTGGTGGAGGCTTCTAGAAAGAGCTGCCTGCTCTGTCCTTGCTCAGGGAGCCCAGACTGGTGAGTGGCCATGTGATCCTCAGGGACACGTTTGAGTTTTAAGCACACCCATTCATTTGGGCAGCCTTTTCCTGGATAAAGCTGACGCAGGCACTTCGGCCCACAGAAATTACAAGATGCTCCAGATGGAGATGGGAGATGATAGCAGAGAGAG